AGTTTTAATAATTGATCTTGTGTTTCAGACATGAAAATATGAAATTTTGCTTGCGTTAAATTCGCCATGATTTTTTCTTTTGATGCGTTCTTCTAAGAATACAGAAWAAAAAATCAATATTAATAGTTGAAATAATAATAATTTCATTTTAATATAACATGAGAATATTCATAAGATATATGAACTTTTAATGTTAAGTCTCCGTCTAAAATCCTTTAAAATGTTGCATAATTTGAGATATTTTTATTTTTTTTAAACATATTTATTTTAATTTGTACAATCTGTAACAGAAATGTACAATAAGCACAATAGAGAGTTGTATAGAAGGTCGTGCTTGGGATGGTTGAAGAAGCTATTCAGTAATAGCACTTCATGCCGAGATAGTTGTGATTAGTGGGCTAKTTAACTAGTCCATTAATAGATCACGATACCACCTACGTTTTAAACGCCGGCCAGGGTCGCCCGGAATTATTCGTGAAGAGAGGTTTTGGATGAGGGGGTTTCGGTGATTTGCAAGTTTGAGGTGGAAGCGTTTGTATTGAGTTTTGGTGACGTTTTTGACTGTCGGAATGAGGAGGTCCCTGTGTAGGGTGTCATTCGACACACAAAAAAGGGCTTTAGTTATCTGTCGGAGGCATTTAGATTGAAAGGTTTGGATTCGGCTTATGTTAGAGTTTTTGGCTGATCCTCAGAGTTGAATTCCGTAGGACCAGATAGGTTTGAAGAGTACCTTATACATAAGGATTTTAATTTAAAATATAAACGATAAAATACATACATATCCTTTATTTTTAAGTGTTTCTTTATTTTTCCCTTATATATTCATTACTACATTACTTCTTATTAAAATGTATATCAATAGATTCCTTGAGACTCGAAGAACGTTTGAAGTTCATTTTTTATGTCCCGACACATGATATACTCAATTTTAGTGTGATTATAAATTATAAATAGTATTAAGGTATTTAATGTAATTGTGGWATGCGATGCCAAAGCGTATCAAAAATTGTGCCCTGCGTAAAAAAATAAATGGAGACCCCTGATCAATACCATGAGCTATTAGCCACGATATTGAAAATTTGATTCCGGTGAGGAGAACTAGTTTATTTTTTCTGAAAGAATTTTTACTTTATCTGCAATATGAGTGCTCAAAACATGTCCTTTTTTTTAACCCTATAAGTAACAAGTAACAACCTATATATTGGATCATACAYGAATTTAGTTTTGGCTCACAAAAATGAAAAAGTTATTGTTCATTTAAATGTTTGTCTTTAGTATATAATATAATATTACTATTATAATTAGTATATTTAATATGGCATATTATACAATTTTTACAATTATWTTTAAAAAATAAGATAATAAATCTTAAAATGTATTATTTATTATTTATGAAAACAATCACAATGACTTTTTGAATTCAAGAAATATTTTTCATACCGATATTGGATTTACGTCAAATATTAAGCATTCGAAGAATATGTCTACAATTTTTTTGTTTCAATATGAAAAATATGTTCAAATAAAAATATATCATTGATATTGTGATTGTACTTTTTACCTGAAATAAGACGGGAACCTATATAAAGCTAGGTAATATAGTTATAATAGTACCTACTGGCTACTAACTATAGATTCTAATACACTCTATACTTCTATAGTCTATATAGTACTCTTGTATTTATCTTATACTGTCAATAAAAGTATAATGGAACACTTATATAGTTTAGATCTCAGTATCAACTTTCATTGACCAAAAATGCTTTATATTTTTAAGTTTAAGCAAAAATATGATACCAATTGTAAATTTATGGATAGTTAACTATAAATAAGCTCATGTTTTTCATTGAAATTTTTCAATTTTCCTAATTATTGAGTATAAGAAAATAATGGTATTTTAATTTTTTTGTATTTGTGTCTTTTAATATTGGTTTAAGTGTTATTTAATTTTATTGAAACATTGTCAGGACAGGTAGCGTGTTTGATGTTTCGTATTTAAAAAAAACTTACATAATCTTATATGAAAAAATATATATATAGAATATAGATATGAAATGCATTCATTTACATTAATTACTATCCATGTGTTAAAATTGAAGATAGTAATAAATCATTGCTTACAAAAAACGATTCTGAGCCGATTCTTCTCATAGACACTTTAAAGTATATACCTAAATATACCAATTTAATTATTTATTTTATTATGTGTAGGAAACATAATATTATTCTTAATGGAAAAAATTTCAATTCCGTACGATTTTTTTTTAAATACAGCAAAATAATTTATAAAAATCGATATTTTTAATTTAATAATCAGATTTGTAAAAATGTAAATTAAAACATTTTAATGCTTATAAGAAATTAGAACTATATAATTTTGATATTTTTAATTTAATAAC